CAATCGAAGGCGACGTGTAACTGTTCAAACTGTCTGTCCCAGTGTGGCAGGGCGCGAGTTCTTGTTTGTTCAAATACCCTGTACGCATTGGACATGACAGGCAAGGGTATATTGTCGGCTGGCAAATTTGAGGATATCAAAGATATCAAGGATATATTCTTTAACAGGAGACAATTAAAACTAGACTTCAAACTGAAAAGGAACTTTCAATTATAGTCTGATATAGAATGCAGAAAAAGTGTATTTCCTTTTCTTGATAACAATGCCACGTGTACCCAAAATCGATATCAAACAATATATATATTTATCGATTTGATGTTTATGCTTTTTTTTGCCCCAAATCGATAAAGTTTTCCATGTTTCCCAAAAGCCGATAAACAAATATATACATATTGCTTACATATATATACATTTGCATTTAATATATCTTGATCTATCCCAAAATCGATATATATCGATTCGCTCTCTGTTCCTTGCTTTCTATTGATCATTTTTCCTTGCCCCAAAGTCGTTTTATTCTCCGATTCGATCTCTTCTCTAAATGCTTTATCCTCAATAATTTCCCATATTTCCCCAAAATCGATATTAACTTTTTATCTCCTGTCTTGATCTCCCTACTTCTTAAATTTTCTTAAAATCGATATCAATAAATATCGATTAGATCCCAATTTTTTTTAATATATATTCTCTCTAGCCCCAAATCCTTATCTAACGGTTATCGACAGCTTTCCACGTTTCCCAACAATCGAAATACCACAAATATCGATTTGATCTGTGTTCTTTCCCATAATCAATATAAACTGTTATAATCGCATGTCTTGATCTTTTGTTCTTTTAGGTTCAACCAAAATCGATATATATCGGTTTGATCTCTTTTCATTTGATTGCTAGTCCTGACTGCATTTTCTTATAACTTCCCAAGATTCCCCAAAATCGATAACTATCGATATTCAGACTATTATTTTTTGTTGGTATATATACTTGTGTAGGGTAACTGCTAGTCGACTATGTTTTTTTTTGCACATTCGCACATGCTTGCACATTTGCACGGCCTGACATTCGACTTCCTGACAGGACATGCAGGACTCTGACGCGTCCATTGTTGTTGTTGTTGCATTTGGCAACTGTTTCTCCTCCTCTGGTCCAAAGGGACGACCTGACCGGGGTAAAAGTGGCAAAAACTGAGTGAAATGTGCGGGTCGAAAGGTGCGTCGACTTTTCTCACTTCCATCGAAAATCAAGCGGGTGCACTGTGCGTGTGTGCGAGTGTGTGTGTGCGAGTGTGTGTGTGTGGCTCTGTGTGTGCTCGAGTTGTTTCAATTGACAATTTTTGGCACACTCGACACGAGCGTTTAAATCGCAATTAGAGCCGAGAAGTGTGCCCGCTTTTAATGGCCATTTTCCACTTTGCCCACTTTTCCAGATTTCCATCGTTCGCTTTTCACAACAAACAAAAGTGTGCCACCAAATCGGTTTCCAATGAAGCGATCATCATCATTTTCCATTGTTAAACCAAAAATTTAATAAACGCAGACACTCTATTAACGCCTGGGCCCGATTTGTAGGGGCGTTGCCAACCGAATTGAGTTGCAAATATTTCATTGAATTGCCCTCCGATAAAATATTGTCTGTAGTGCGATATGATATGATTATATGATATACATAGCTGGAGAATTCTTAGCGCCAGATATACCCAACTTGGTTTAGCTTCCTTTTTGCTGTATGCACTTGAATGATATTTCACTTTTTGGCTACCTTAATCCAATCCATTTATTTGCCCAGATAGAGGCTTGTGTGTCATATTGAAGGCATGCAAATTTCATAAAGATCGGACCTTATAGTCCGAACTTAAACGAGAACGCATTTGCCATGCAAGGTGTGGGACGAGGGAAAGAACTTTCATGGTATCTCCTAGTCGGACACTCCGAGTCCAGACTCTTACTTACAATAACCCTGTATCAACAGTCGAGTCCGTCCGTCTGTCTCTTTCTCTTAGTTGGAAGGCTTCCCTTTCGAAACTTTCGGACGGATGGGAACCACCCAGATCGGACCACAATCTCAATATAGCTGGCAAGGGAACAATCGGTCGAAAGGTAGGCTAAGCTCTTCGTTTTTTGAGATATCTTGAGCCAACTCGGCATTTATTACATTCACTGCGACCTCTATATCAGATGAGAAAGATATATCGAAAAGTAGGTCTATATTCACATATCTGGTAAAGTTGAATGCCAAATATATTTCAACTTAAACAAGACAAAATTTCTATTTATAAAAATTCGCATAAATGTTCCGGTTAAATATATTGAAATATTTATGAGATATTTTTCTATACATTTGTTTATTTGTTTTCATTTCATAGATATCTTTTCAGATTCCCATCGAGCGGTCACTTTCAATCAAAATAAAATTAAAGAGCTGCTTGTTAAGTGAGACGGCGAGTCGGAAAGTCGCCCCGGGGAAATGGAAAATGGGAATGGAAATTGTAATGGAAACGGGGAATCAGGGACGGGCAGCAGACAATGACAGGAACAAAGGCGCATCATTAGAGAACCTGATAACAATGTGCAACTGCCCAAGACAAGTAGAAAACAAAATAAGAAAAACATGAAAGGAAAAGGTGAAAAACGCCCGATGGACGCAACGCAACGGGGTAACCTTTTGTCAAGTCTGTCAGGGATTTGGCTCGCGAGCGAGCCGGAAGAAAAAAATAGAGTTGTACGCTGGTCAGCCCCGGCGCTGTCCCGGAAAAGGGTGTGACAGGCCGGAACATGATCATAGGGAAATCGTGTCGGAAAATACCTGCTCTAGATATTTGTATCTGGCTGAAAGTTGAAGTCCGGCTGACTAGACCTCGGCTTGGGTTTCGTGACCCCGCGAGCCAATGATACAATATGATGTCCAGACATATTACATCATGTGAGCAATATGTTGTCTGTTGTCTGTCACGTCGCACAAAGGCCCAGCACATATCGAAGCAGCTCTCTCCCTCCCTCGTCGGCGGTCGACCTAGCCGGGCTGGGCTGTGCACTTCCTTGGTAGAACTTTCACGCTCCGTTGCTCACTCGCCTGGGAAGTCCATCAAGTTCAATGAACATCACAAATGGGGCAATGCGAAAAGTGTTAACGTCTTTGGCTAAGTCCGTGCTGGCATTAGGCCAGCCAAAGGGATGGCACTGACCGCCTCGGAAGGAAGGAAGGAAGGAAGGAGGGAAGGAATTTGCATAACCCTCGGCCTAATAGAGTAGCCCAATGTTATGACAGCTCATTTAACGCCCTTTGCCCAATGGGCACCGACTATCTGCTCCATATGCGTACATATGCCATATATATATGCCCAATTGAGCAGAGATATTTTGGGAATGTTGAGCACTTCACAACTTGACCAGCTAATGAGCCATGGCCACAACTGCTCCTAACGAAAAGGGTTTTCCATTTGTTGCGCTCTGTGGGAAACTTTCGAGTATTCACTCATTCCATTTGACTAGACAGCTCGACTGTAAGCTCAGCGGGTGCTCGGTAGGGCACAACATCTTAAGGACCTTGTTGTTGTTTTTCGCCTCTTGAGGCACCCAATGATGCTCTATGGTAACAGTAATAGATTGTGTTCCATGTAAAACATGTAAAAATCAAAAAAAAAGATATATTATTATTTAACTGCATATATTAAACGAGAAGCTACATACCAAGTTTGGTGTGTCTAGCTATTATAATCCTCGAGCTATGCTTGAATAACCATCTCCCAAAATCGAGGTTCGAGTTCTTGGCTAGCAATTGAAAAATGCGCTTCAAATCTCTAGCTAACAGATCAACAAGATGGTTCGTATGCCTGAACCAACGCAACTGAAAAAAATGGTTCAAATCTCTGGCAAGCAAATCCAAAAAGGGGTTCAAATCCCCAGCTGACAACCGAAAAACGTGGTTCGAATCCTTCTAGCTAGCAACTGAAAAAAGGGGTTCACATTCCTGACTAGCAAACGGAAAAAGTGGTTCGAATCCCTGGCTAGCAAATGGAAAAAGTTGTTCGATTCCTCCTGGCTAGCAACTAAAAAAAGTGGTTCGAATCCCAAGCTAGCTGCGAGAAGTTTGTTTCCCTGGTCAGCAGGTGAAAAAAGTGGTTCGAATCCTTGGCTAGCGAACTGAAGATATGGGTTCGAATATCTGGTTAGCAAACTAACAAAATAGTTCAAATCCCTGGCTAGTAGATTAACAAAAAAGTGGTTCAAACTCTTGCTAGGCAACTGAAAAAAGTGGTTCGAACTTCTGACGAGCAACTGCAAAAAGTGGTTCGAATCCTTAGCTAGCAGCTACAAAAGTAAGTTCGAATCTTCGACTTTTAATTCCTCGCTAAAGATCATAGTAGCTGGGGCAATTCTAAAGTAAGATTTACCGAATATTAAAACAATATTAATTCGACTTCAATTGAGATAAAGTCTACAACTTACCCGAACTGTTTAGTTCAAGAAGTCTCCCTCTAGCCTGGCTTTTCCCTGGCTTTTCCCTGGCTTCACACTCTCACCTCTCTCTCTCTCGCTCGCTCGCTCTCTCTCTCTCTCTCATTCTCATTCTTGGTAGCTATCAGGGCATAAAAACGCCCATTAACCTCCGGCGCTGCTGTGGGAAACACTTGCGATCGGCAGCGGGAGTCGTCGCCCAAGTCGTGGTTGGGCCCGTTTCTTCCCTTCGAGCAGGGGCCACGCTTCGCTGGATCTCAAGAGGTTGGTTTTGCATTTAATGCTGGCTTTCTCGGTTCTCTCGGTACACTCTTGTGGTTTTTCTTCTTCGGTTTTTTTTTTTCCCGTTTAAAAATCCACCTCTATAAAAATTCTGATGGGAATGGCCGCAGCCGGAGCCGGAGCAGCCGCCAATTAAGAAACGCAGCGAAACACAATTTCCATAATTTTCATAATTCAATTATTTACTCGTTTAACAGGAAAAAAAAACTCTTAAATTAATCAAAAAAAAAAAAAAATGATTTAAACTATTTTTAAATATTTATGTGATCAGCTTTGCTCGTTCAGCGAGAAGCTGAGACGCCGCTTGGTCGCGTCCCGCGCCTCCGACTGCAGCCAAATGCCGTCCAGCTGGCAGCAGGCCTCCAGCTGTGGCCCGCCCAGCGCCCGCTCCTCCTCCAGCTCACAGTCGCTGGTGGAGTTGTGTCCGCTGTCGGGGCTGATGTGCCGCTGCTTGGCGCGGGATTGGGAGGGGGCGCGGGAGTGTGGCAGCTTGTGGGCGGAGCGCGAGGCGGCCGCCAGGAGCTTCTGCGCCGATTGGCGCACGCTCGACGAGATCTTCGTCGCGATCTGGCGCTTGCGCCGCACCACGCGCTGCCTGCGCAGCTGCAGCGAACGCCGCTTGCCCTGCCCCAGGTCCAGGTCCAGGTCCAGGTCCGCTCCAGATCCGGACTGGAAGAGCGGCTGTGGGGAGCAGACCTCGCGCTCCTCGTAGGCATCCGGATGCACAGGTGGCTGCCAGTACTCGCACAGATCGCTGGCCGGATCGAAGGCGGGTCGATAGGTGGGCGAGTGGCTCGCCTCGGCTGTCCCAGCTGTCGAGATGAGACGCTGCTGAGGCTGCGGCCTCTGACGTGGACGTTGGCGCAGACGGGAATGGGAATGGGAACGGGCACGGACACGAGCTGGCGGCTTGCGCGTGCTTTCGAGTATGGCATCGATCATGCGCTCCAAGGTGACATCGCCCATTTGGCTCGAGCTGAGCGTCGTCTGCTCCCCATTGGGAATAGCAGGAGCAGGAGGAGCAGGAGCAGGAGCAGGAAGTGGCTTCTGTTCCAGGTAGCGCGGCTTCTCGAAGTAGCTGTCCGGGATGCCCATGCCGCGCAGTGCCAGCAGCGCTCCTGGAATGATGACGTTGTTGTTGTTGTTGTTGTTGTTCTCCCCACTCTGGTCGACCCTGTAGCTGGGCGAGTACTCCGCCTCGAAGGTGGGCAGCGTGGAGGCATACACAGCGGCCTTCGCCTTGGCCGTGGTCATGGTCATGGTCATGGTCATGGGCATTGTCATGGTTGAGGGCGTGTGGAGAGGTGACATCATGTTGCTCAGATCCCGCAGCAGAGGAGTACGTGCAGCGACTGCGGCGGGCAGCGGCGTCGAAGTCAATTGATTCTCCTTGCCCAGGTGGAGGCCCGGCAGCAGCAGCGATTGCCGCTTCAGTTTGAGCCGCTGCATCGGGGGGGCGGCTGTGCGCATGGGCGTGGCCAATGCCATTGGAGCTGCCGCCTGGAAGTCGCTGTAGCTGCTGTTGACCTGATAGCCTGGGTCTGGGTCTGGCCCAGACTCGCCAGGCTGCTCGGCCAGGTAGGAGGGGCGCGGCTGGTTCACAGCCCACTTGAGCATCTTCTGCTGCTTCCTCTTCCTTTCGATGATGTTGTTGTTGTTGTTGTTGTTGTGGGTGTCTGCAAGTGCAAAGTTGTTGGTTTAGTATTCAGCTGTGTGTGTGTGTGTGTGTGTGTGTGTGTGCGTGGCCCTGGCTGCGTTCTTATACCCTGTTCACACTGGACAATGGGGTATATTGGCTTGTACGTCAGCTTAGCTGCATTAAACAAGTTGCTAATATTTCATTTGCCACGCCCACTAGTGGGCTAGCCTCTTTTTATATTTCTAGCTATTTATTGGCTAAATAAAAAGTTGAAAATTCACAACGAAAAAGATGTTGTTCGATTTGTTGTTAGCTTGTCTTGCACTTCGAACAGGGTATGTTGCAGTCGCCTATACCCGTTTGTTTTTTGTTTTTTTTAAATGTATTTTTAGCTTTTTGGCTTTTTGTTTGGGCCTCCGGCGCAGCGCGAAGTTGCCGGGCGAGTTTTTGGCGCGCTTTTCGGCGGCCAATTCCGCGACGTCGAACATATATATATGTCGATCAATACATATACATACATATATGTACATATATATATGCCCTTATAGGGCCGGGCTATGTGTGTGTTTTTTGGCTGGCCAAAAAATCAGTGAAGCAGCAAAAATGAAATCAAGAACAACAAAATAAATGCCGCAGCGGGCATTTGGCAAAAATCCCCCTTTAGTTTTCACATGCAATTAAATAGGCCATGGGTGTGCGTAAAAGGGCCTACGGCTAAATACCCCTCTCCCCCCCCTCCCCCTCGCCCCTCTCTCGTCACTTTCGCAAACCCCTTTACCGGGGCTTTGACAAGTCTTGAACTTGGACATGAAATGCATCGGGAAATATTCATTAAATGCCCAATTAAAAGTTTGAATATGCATATGAATATGCATGTGAATATGCGTATGAATAGTTGTGAATATGAGTGTTATTCATAAAACTGTTTTGTACTTTGCTTTTGGTTATCCCATTTAAGTCACTTGCATTTACCTTTTAACAAGAGTTTTTCACAAGTAAAAAAATATGTAAATAAATATGTTTCAATTTTTGCACTTTTGTTTCGATGTATTTTATTCAACTCGATTTCGTATTTGAATTCGTTTGCGCAGCGGAGCGTCGACGTGTGCTCTGCCCGACTCGTGTTTGGGTACTAACCGACTGAGCTCTGGCAGTGAGCGCTGCAAAGCACAAAAACGTGTTGCGTCGACGCAGCGCCAGAGAGAGCGAGAGCGAGACCAAGAGCGAGCGTATGTGAGTTAGCGCGCGCGCACACGCTCGCACACGCACAGTCAGAGCCAGAGGCAGGCGCGCATAGTCAGAGAGCGCGTGCGTGTGCAGCTAAGAGAGCGGCAGTTGCAACAGTGTTTCAATCAACGGCAGCGCTACTCATAGGCATTCATTGAACATGAGAGCAGAGCAGAGCAGAGCGTCGACTGAACTGAAATATGCAGCTGGTGGGTGGGCTTAAAAAACGGAGCAGAATTGAAGGGCAAATATTGAAGTAAAGGAATAGGTCACATCGATTAAATAGTTTTTTGATTGTCTAGATAAAGATTTACCTCAAATATGAAATGCCGTTTTTTATAAAAATAAATAAACACATTATCAAAATATTATTTAATACAGTAAACTTTATTTGAAATTCCATGATTTATGCAAGATAAAGTAGAGTTTATTTCGGCACGCCGAAGACTAAATACCCTGTGTATATCTTTAAAGTATACATCTTTTAATATATAGCTTTGGATACTTTGGTTGATTTTTTTCAAAATTAAAAATCATTTTCATTCAACTAAATTTTGAATATTCATTTAATTTTCTGGACTAATAGTAAAACTAATAAGAAAATAAATAAAATTTGATCAATTTAGACGGATAGACAGATATACATATATATATATATGTATATATATACATTTTTTTTATTTTGCAAGATATCAACCAAATTATATGCAATTCCTAAAGGAAAAATGGGAGTATATTATACAAATATATACTTTGTATATTATATATAACTTTAATGCATATTTTTGCTATTACTTAGGAACGATCGGATATATATCGACTATATAGACTCGACTATTGATTCGATATATAGATATATATGCATATATATATATATATATCAATATATATTTTACATATGACATTAATTCATAATCTTGGTAGTAGGAACGATCGGATATATATCGACTCGACTCTTGTTGCTGATGGGAATATATCTCTCTGGCAGGGAAAAAAGAGAGCTGACTCTGTTTATATGTGTTAAGATATCACTCTGATCGTACAACTCTGAGCAACTGAACGAGTCTCGAATCCCAACTAAAACTTAGACCTAGAACTAATCAAAAACAACTAAGAGGTTCTAGTCGGGAGCTCCCGACTAGGGGATACCCTGAACCCTCTTCTTCCAACAGGCGATAGGTATAAAATGAAAGACACCTGATACATATGTACTATTCTAGAAGCTACATGTCAAGTTTGGCGACTCTAGCTCATATCGATTTTTATCGATTACTTGGAAACGGGACAAGTTATCGAATATCGGAAACAAACTTGATCTGCGCGGGGACTAGGAGAACCTACAGCCAAAATTTCAAGTCTCTAGCTCTTATAGGTTCTGAGATCCTTGGCTAGATCGACTCGGCTGTTGATGCTGATCAAGAATATATATACTTAATGGGATCGGAGATGCTTCCTTCTGCCTGTTACATACATTTGCACAAATACATAATACCCTTTTTTAGCCATTTTTAATGGGTTCAGGGTATAACAATGGTGCCCAACATTTGTTCCAGCTGGCCCCAACTATACATACATATGTATGTCGATATAACTATGCTAAATCACAACAGAAACTCCCGATGTGCCATATATGTATGTACTTATATTGCTTGTGGAAATGTTCTAGATAGCTCTAAAGAAAAAAAATTCCCATTTGAGGCTGGTCAAAACAGTTGGTCGAAAAACCACAGTTGGCCAAAACATGCAATACGTGTGAAAATAGGAGCTGTATTCGTGTGTGTGTGTGTGTGAGTGTGAGTGTGTATTGCTGCCAGCTGCTGCTGCTGCTCCTTTGCCCGCTGCCCGCCCGCTGCCCGCTCGCTGCTTACGCCACAAAACATAATTTTCAATTACCTTTCTCGCAGCGTGTGGCTCCTTTCACCTTGAGTTTTCGCCAAGAAAAGGACAACACACACACACACACGCACACGCACACGCACAGCGAATACCTTTGTACAATTTAGCTTATTGTTTATGGGACAAGCGCCGCTGCCGCTGCCGCTGCTCGCATCGCTGCTGGCGTCGCTGCGGCTGCGGCGGCTGCTGCTGCTGTGTGGCAAAAGAAAATGTTGTGGAAAATTGTGCAATTGTTTTGCAATTTATTGGTTAAAGGGCTCGGCGGGCAGCATTTACCATTCCCATTCCGGATGCTCAGCTCGGCTTCCTGCGTCGCTGCCAACGCCGACGGCGACGTCGACGTCGACGCCAACTTTTGTTTAAAGCGCAAATTTATGAGATTTTTGCGGAACTTGAGATTGAAGCAAAGCGACAGCTGTGCAGCAGCTCGAAAGAAAGTGACCGAGCGGGAGAGAGACAGACAGAGAGAGAGAGAGAGAGAGGGAGAAAGGTGAGAGTATAATAAGAGCCTTTTTTGTTACTTTGAGCCAAATAAAAAGCAAAGGATTTCACTTCCAAACAGGAAGTCAGCATGAAGACCACCAAGCGAAGCACTTGTCCAATTGCATTGGACATTTGGCAACAATCGTATATATATATTAATATATGTATATACTCTATTGTATTATTGTGCTGAGATTGTCTTCCAAATAATTTGGTATGAAGTGGTCTCTCTTGCGGACTCAAAAGATTAAGTAATACTTGGAATTGATCTGCTTGACTTTGTTTAATTTCAATTGCAGCGTGAGAAAATTACTGACTAATTTTTACAATTTTTCTTTGCCTGTCGCTTGCAATTCGCAACGAGTTCAAACTTTGTCGATGGCTGAATAAGCTTATTTATGTAAATGCAAGAGGGCTCTAGTCGGGGCTGCTAGACTAGGGAATACCCTGAACATCAAATGCAGCTCTCTCTAGGGGGAGCGAGAAAGATACTCGATCTATAATTAATCTATTCTTAGAGCTTAATGTCAACTTTGGTGAGTCTAGCTCCTAAAAGCTAATTTAGACGGATGGGCGGTCGGATAGACGGACGGATAGATGGACGGATAGATGGACGGATAGATGGACGGATAGACGGACGAATAAACGGACAGACAAACGGACGGACGGATAGACGAACGAACGGAAGAATAGCCAGATGGACGGATAGACGGACGAACATAGCAAAGATAGACGGACGGACGGACGGACGGATAGACGGACGGATAGATGGACGGACAAACGGACGGACGGATGAACGGAAGGATAGCCAGATGGACGGATAGACGGACGAACATAGCAAAGATAGACGGACGGACGGATAGATGGACGGATAAACGGACAGACAAACGGACGGACGGATAGACGAACGAACGGAAGGATAGCCAAATGGACGGATATACGGACGAACATAGCAAAGATAGACGGACGGACGGACGGACGGATAGACGGACGGATAGATGGACGGACAAACGGACGGACGGATGAACGGAAGGATAGCCAGATGGACGGATAGACGGACGAACATAGCAAAGATAGACGGACGGACGGATAGATGGACGGATAAACGGACAGACAAACGGACGGACGGATAGACGAACGAACGGAAGGATAGCCAAATGGACGGATATACGGACGAACATAGCAAAGATAGACGGACGGACGGCTAGACGGACGGATAGAAGGACGAATAGAAGGACGGATAGACGGATAGAAGGACGGATAGATGGGCATGGCTAGATTGACTTGCCTATTGAGGCTGATAAATAGTAAATATACTTTATGGGGTCCTTCTGCCTGTAACATAGATTCGCACAAGCCAATTATATTATACCCTTTCCTCTCCATTCATAATGCGTTCAGGGCATAAAAAAGAACCCAACTTGAGCTCCAGCTGTACAGCTGAATATTACAATTAAAGTCTCAGATGCGATTTGAGCTGACATTGTTTTCTGGTGACATATTATTTAAATGTCCAGCTGCTGCGCTCCAGTTTTCGGCAACAAAAAAATGCAAGGACGACGCAAGGCGACAGGACTTGAAATAAATCAATAAGCTGTCTCTCGATTGGGCTCAAGGAGCAGCTGCTGCTGCCACAGAAGCGAAAGGATCTTAACAATCATCTGTCCTCTCTCTCTGCCATTGAATCAAAGCCAATTTAACGCATTGGTCACTACAACGCCCCTGCCCGACAGACAGACAGACCGACAGAGGGAGAGGGGGAGAGCGGGAGAGGGGGGGGGGGAGATGCGCGCTGGGAAGATAAATTAGGGCAGGATCAGGATCGGGATCGGGCTGGGCCCGGCCCGGCCCAGCTTTGCCACTAATAAATTGCCCAACAATTGCGCAATTTCTCATAGCTGAAAATTGCGAAAAATGGTGAAAAATCGTTTGAAGGTAAAAACGCTTCACGCTCAGATTTTCTTTTCTTCACTTTTTCTACTTCTTTTTGTTGCTGTTGTTGCTGTGCGCCTTCTTTCCAATTCCTTTCTTCATTTATATGTGCGCTGTTGTTGTTTTTTTTCTTCCCGAACGGGCGTTATCCCTCACACACACACACACGCACACACACACATATAGAACCGGCAAGGACATCAAGATAAAGTACGTTGGGCAAGGGACGGAGCGGGGCAGCTAATCTTATATCATATGTTAGCGCCAGGAACGGCTACCCGGCTGCCCCGGCTACCCCGCCACCCCGAACAGCTGTGTGGGATTAGGCCCATCGCCCCTCGCCCCTCGCCCCTCTCCCATCAGCTGGAAACCCTCAGACTACACTCAATTCATATATTCGAGTACCTCATATCATATGATATAAGTATACATATCATATATATATATAAGATAGTCGGGCTATCTTGTCCATTTAAATAAGCTCCAGCTAGGGCTAGTTAGCAGATCTAACTAATCTAATTAACTGGATTATTAACTAGATATCTAGTGTTGGACTGATTCTAGATATCTACATCTTACAGACAGAGAGATATGTTAAGAAGTATATGTCGATAAGAAGTATATATCTAGAGCTGAAATTTACCAGATATATTATGCCAAAATTTTAAATGATTGTTATATTATCCTAGTTCCTACTCGGAATATAGATCGATTTGACTATAGTATGCAAACCCCAACCCCTTTGATAAGAAACTAGAAACTAAATGTTCAATTTATAATCTCATACTAAATAATCTTCCCTATATCGCCAGGATGAGATACTAATCTAATTATATACATATATTTGCCGATTGTTCTATTAAGAATTCCGAATGAAGAATTCCTGTTGATAATCCTTTCATTAGCAGAGAATTCCATCAAATATATAAGTCATTCGAGAAGACATTATTCTGGAGCTACCCGCAAGCTACCTTCTCATATAGTTCTCGGAAGTACTTAAAAGCGAATTTATATGGAAATCGCATTTTTTTTTCGCTAAATTTCAACGTTTAAAGTTTAAAGTATTGGAGTCCTAGGAATGATATAATTGTATTTTATAATTATGAGAAACTTTTTGATTAAAGAAGTAGATAAGTCTGGAGATATCCAGAAAGCAGAAGAGACGACATGCCCAGAAGATACCCTGGAATCATAATAGCATCAAAATGTTTTCTTCAATAACTTCGATGCTTAAAAACCCATTTTTAAAAAATTGTCAATTGACAAAGATGACATATAAAGGTGTATGTATCCACAAGGTGCAAGGCTCAGGCCTAAGAAAGGAGTTGTTTTTTTTCTTCTCAAATTTTATAAAGTTTTATGGGCTTATCCAAAAAGTGAACCATTTCGTATATACAAGAACACCCAAAATTAGCAAATAATTTTCGAGTTAAGCCCAAAAAAAGGATATCTCAAAATCGATATTTATCGATATAAAAAAATCGATCTATAGGAACCATTGAAGGCAATTTGAAAAAGGAAATCTTATCGAATGTAAATTATAAATTTTATTAAAATATATATATGTATATGCATTTATTTGAAATGTTGGCTCTGCAATTCTGTAATGTTTCAATTGAATGTCGTGTGGATGAGGCATAGTCACAATGTAAATAAACTTCTTGAAATGCGAACGAAACTCAAATTTGTTTGCTTCAATCACTCCAAATACGAAATTCAGTTGAAAGCACATGAAAAACACTTGATGATTTAATTGATTCCTGCAACGATGATTGCAATTGAAATTGAATGCGAAATTGAATGCGAAATTGAATGCGAAATTGTGTGCGTTGTTCAATGCGATGGACTCACTCAGTTTTCAATGGCGCATCGGTCGACAGCCTGCTGCAATCGTTGCTCCAAATTGACGAGCCGGGAGCCCATGTTCGCCAGGACGTGTATCTGCATGCTGAGCATATCCTCGGCCTCGCGCTGCTGCAGTATCAAGCCATTGAAGTCGATGGTCAGCTGCTCCCGCATCAGCCAGAAGGTGCCCACGCATACGGTGCACATGATTAGCCACAAGTTCAACAGCTTCTCGCCATCGCTGAGCACCTGGCTGGCCGGATTCTTTTGTAGCTGATACGCTGCGTCCAGGATCAGGTAACTTATCTTATCCTCCATCACGTTGAACATGACAAAGGTTAACGCAATTACGAACAGATTTGTCGTGGCAAGAAGATTTTTTCGAAAATCGATCATTTCTTATTATATATTTATCAAAAATTTACTGCTACACGAGACTAGATAAATAGAACGTGTACGGGCGACTGAGCTTAAAATCCATATGTGCCTACTCCCTACTTTGACAGCATTGCCATGGATTGCTATTAGTTAGTTTCTCTATGTATCGAATGTACAAACAATTTTGAAATAGTTGTCCAAAGCTCTTGATATCCTTCTCTTATGTTAGGCGCAAAGTGCGGGCAAGTTTGGCTAGGATTTCTGGGCATTCAGTGGCTCGATCTGCTCGAACTCCATATATATACTGCTTCGAGCTTTGAGTAATATCTGTACCAAGTTTCAGCAAGATACCTTCACTGGGAGCCGAGTTCACATAGGCAGCTATATGATCTAGCACTCGGATGCTCAAAAGATTTCGCAGACATGTTGCGAGAATAGTTATGCTCGCAATTGTTAAATTTGGTAAAGATATCTGAGAAAACAAAAAAGTTATTCACATAAAACTAATTTATCGAGCGATCTTATCTGGTTTGAAAACGGAACTGGAACTGAACCGAAATTTGACATATAAACATGTTAATTGTATTTAATTAATTTTACTTTTAATTTTTAATGGAACTTTCTTAGATTTCTTATTTATAGTATTTATGCTGGGCTTATTTCAATTTTAATCGCAAGCCAAATCAATTAGTCTTTGCTGCCATTTCAATCGAATTGAATTGATTTCAATTTCAATCTGCTGCGCCGGCAGCGCTCTCTGCTGCGCGCGCTCATTTGTTGTTCTTCCTTTTCATTCATTTTGGCGCGCTCTCCCACAAAATTCCAGCAGCCTAAATACCCATACAAGCAAGGCAATTGAATGTGAATGGGGAGAGAGAGCGAGCGCGCGAGAGAGAGCGTAAGCTGTTGGTGGTTGATTGGCTGGCTGGCTGGCTGGCTGGCTGGCTGCAAGCAGAGCTGAGCACGCAACATGACGTGCCTGGCGAGAATCAGTCACGTTGCGTCTGCGCCTCTGACAGGACGTTCCGTTTCGTTCGTGCGAGAATATTTTCATTTCATTTTTCGTTTCCTTTTGCACTTCACGGATTTTTTGGATTATATATACGCTGTTTTCGTTTTTTTTTGTTTGTTGGTTTTCTGTTTTTTTTTTTTTGTCGTGTGAAAATTTAGTTTTTTGGGCTAAAAACGTAAAAAGGTAAAGATAAGAAGACAAGTGCATTGCGATTAGCTATTAAAAATGCATTAAATATGGAAAATCAGCCAACCCTCCAGCGAGCAGTCCGGCGCGACTCTCAAGTGTTCTCAGAGAAATTTAATTATAAAAACACCCCATCATTTCAAAATCCGACTCCTTATACGGAAATGCATTCGGAAATTGTGCGCGTGCGTCGCGTTTGGGTGTAAAGCCTTTGGGCTTGCCTCCGATACCCTGCCAGAGGGTATGTTAACTCTGACGCGAAATGTGCTAGCCCATAAATCAAGAGTATATACGTATATACATATATATTCCTGATCAGCAGCAAGAGACGAATCGTTCGACTGTCCTATTCTATCCGCATTTGTTCCTCAGTTTCCCTATTCTTGTTCTATATACTAGATATCTCTCGTAGTCAGCCGGATCGGCCCACTATATCACATAGCTCTCAAAGAGAAAATCGCTTAAAAATCAAGTTTTTCGAGTGCTATACCATATAGCTGCCTATGAGAACTCGGCTCCCGGTGAAGATATCTTCATGAAATTTGCTACATATGCTAATTGTAGCTCAAAGCCATATATATCAACAGTTCGGTCGCATCGGACTACTATATCGTATAGTTCTCATAGATAAAATCGATTCAAATTGCACTTTTTGTATGGATAACTTTGTTTGCTTACCCGGATATCAGAAGATATGCCCCTTTTTGTGCTTTCTCAAGCACATCTGCAAGGCCTGCTAAGAAACAGAGACTTGAATATCAGATGCTGATATTAGCTGCCTATGCGAACTCGGCTCCCAGTGAAGGTATCTTCATGAAATTTTGGATATATGCTTATTTTAGCTCAGATAAGTATATATGTCGAGGTTGAACGAATCGGGTAACTGTATCGTGTAGGAACCAGAAAGAACATTTGATCTTCGGCGTGGCAAATGAAACTGTTCTTCTTTTTATCGCTATATTTTTTTTATTCATATTATTTTTGTGGGCCAAGTGAAGTGCGCTTGAGCGCAAAACGAGGCGGCCAAATGCGCAAAATGCTTTCGCGCATTCTCGAGTGGTTCGCATCGTTCCACTCGAGCCACATTTAAATGCCAAATGGGCAAATATGGCAAATGGGCAGCGAGTGTGCCAAAGGGCCACCATTTTCCATTTCGAACCACCCAAAATGCGAGGCCAAGTCCCGGGGATTTGGCTCGGCTCGCAGCTGGCAGCCCAACTTCCTCTTTCTAGTTTTTTTCCAGTTTTTTTTCTTTTAGCTTTTTGCGCGCCTTTCGAGCTTTCAATTGTTGTTCGCAGCGAGTGCGAATTTGAAATCCTTGCGAAAAAGGAAACTAGTTGCGGCACAAGTTGAGCCTGTTTCTTGCGATCCCCTTTTCTTGTTTTTTTTTATTTGCTTTGTTGCCCGCAGACAATGGCAATTCAGGCCTAACTGGCCAGATCCCGATCCTGCGCATCTTTAACTCGATCCTTTTGCTACTTTCAGACTCTCGCAACAGCTGCCAACATGCTCAAGTGGGCTGTCAACCAGCCGCGTCCCTCCTACCTGGCCGCACAGCCAGACCCGAACCCGGGCACAGGCGCAGGCTACAGCGACTTCCAGGCGGCAGCTCCAATGGCATTGGCCACGCCCATGCGTAGAGCCGCCCCCCCGATGCAGCGGCTCAAGCTGAAGCGGCAATCGCTGCTGCTGCCGGGCCTCCATCTGGGCAAGGAGAATCAATTGACTTCGACGCCGCTGCCCGCCGCAGTCGCTGCACGTACTCCTCTGCTGCGGGATCTGAGCAACATGATGTCACCTCTCCACACGCCCATGACCATGACCACGGCCAAGGCGAAGGCCTCTGTGTATGCCTCGACGCTGCCCACCTTCGAGGCGGAGTACTCGCCCAGCTACAGGGTTGACCAGAGTGGGGAGAACAACAACAACAACGTCATCATTCCAGGAGCGCTGCTGGCACTGCGCGGCATGGGCATCCCGGACAGCTACTTCGAGAAGCCGCGCTACCTGGAACAGAAGCCACTTCCTGCTCCTGCTCCTGCTCCTCCTGCTCCTGCTATTCCCAATGGGGAGCAGACGACGCTCAGCTCGAGCCAAATGGGCGATGTCACCCTGGAGCGCATGATCGATGCCATACTCGAAAGCACGCGCAAGCCGCCAGCTCGTGTCCGTGCCCGTTCCCATTCCCATTCCCGTCTGCGCCAGCGTCCACGTCAGAGGCCGCAGCCTCAGCAGCGTCTCATCTCGACAGCTGGGACAGCCGAGGCGAGCCACTCGCCCACCTATCGACCCGCCTTCGATCCGGCCAGCGATCTGTGCGAGTACTGGCAGCCACCTGTGCATCCGGATGCCTACGAGGAGCGCGAGGTCTGCTCCCCACAGCCGCTCTTCCAGTCCGGATCTGGAGCGGACCTGGACCTGGACCTGGATCTGGGGCAGGGCAAGCGGCGTTCGCTGCAGCTGCGCAGGCAGCGCGTGGTGCGGCGCAAGCGCCAGATCGCGACGAAGATCTCGTCGAGCGTGCGCCAATCGGCGCAGAAGCTGCTGGCGGCCGCCTCGCGCTCCGCCCACAAGCTGCCACACTCCCGCGCCCCCTCCCAATCCCGCGCCAAGCAGCGGCACATCAGCCCCGACAGCGGACACAACTCCACCAGCGACTGTGAGCTGGAGGAGGAGGGGGAGGAGCACGCCTCATTTGGCGCCTGCGTCCTGGAGGCGGCGACCAAGCGGCGTCTCAGCTTCTCCTTTCACGAGGAGCAGTGAAAACGGGTTTCGCGCGGAATTCGAATTCCAACTAATTTTTGGCTGTTGAAATAATTTTAAACACTTTTTTTTTTCTCAGTTGTTTGTTACGTGGAGAAATTCGAGAATTGAAATTTGATTTTGTTTAGTTTTTGAATTTAGCAAAATTGTTGCTAAAAGCTTTCAATTGCCTTCTTCAAGCTGACATTCCAATTTACGATTTACCAAATTAATTTAATTTATAATCATTTTTTTTTTGTCGTAATAAAATTGCCAAGATTGTCGAAAACTTAATTTTTCATTACTAATTCTTTGGGAAATAAATTTGCATATTGCAGATCAATTCTTAGTAGCAATTTTTTGGGAACTTTTGAAATTCCAGCTGAGACAGAGTGCCAGAGAGAGAGGAGAGAGAGAGAGAGAGAGGGAGAGAGGGAGAGCGACATGCGGAGAAAGATGTAAGATGTTTTTTTTACGCATATTTGGAATTATTACCATGCCAGCTATATGATATAGTGCTCCAATCCAGCCGAGCTCGACATGTATACTATTTTGATCTAAAAGAAGCATCTGTACCAAATTTCATCTCGATATCTTCACTGGGAGCTGAGTTCACATAGACAACTATATGATATTGTAGTCTGATTTTCATGAAATTTGGCATATACGTTCAGAGCATGGTAAGCCTCGCAATTTCCCAGTTTCCTTAAGAAATGTTGAACAGAGATAAACTTTTCTGCACAAAAAATTATTCTTCGACAGATCGTTACTATGGCGACCATCTGATATAGTGGTACGATCCGGCCCATCTCAACATACATACTGATTTGGACCAAAAGAAGCATCTGTAGCAAATTTCAACTCGTTATCTTTACCGAGAGCTGAGTTAACATAGACAGCGGTATGATATTGCAGTCTGAGCTTTCAGGTATACTAGAAGAATAGCTCTCAATTGCTGGGTTTGATTTAGATATCGAAACAAACGTTAAATAGGATTTTAGTAAAGAGCTTGTAACTCAATTCTTCTGCAGTTCTTCTGGTTCATTTTTGAGGTTATGAACAGCATATTAGCCTAAATAAACTTATGTGTACATGAAATAGTTAAAAACGGTTTAAACATGAATTATTTGTAGCACTCAAATCTTAATTTGTATTCATATCAA